GATTCAGATCAGACCGGTGGGCGGCAGCCTCAAGAGCGCCACCAGGCCCAACGGTAACGTCGTTTGGGCCTGCCCGTCTGGTCTGGTCCTAAATGCGGCCTGAAGGCCAACCGCTGGGCCTGCAATGGTGCCTCCGGTCTAAAGGTCCGGCCTTGGCCTGGACCGGCCTCCGAACCCCTATCTGTCGGGCCTAACCGGGCCCATGTGACACAGTGTGTAACACACTTCCCCCCTTAAAAGACCGAGCTACCTGCGAGGGCGAAGTTGTCTGTCCGATACCGGGGTGGGTCGGGTGGGACAAGCGTTGTCCTTGGCAAGTCTTCGAGTCTCGTAGTCGGAGAAGATGAGAGGCGCAGATGTCTGTAAGTCTGCGCGGGAGATCCAACGAGTATCATCCAGGTCACATTGCTTGAAAGTGACTTGGTATTGCATTGGCTTGTTGCCAAACTTGCGGTGCCTGATGACACGGTCAACTTCCTGATGGTCGTCCATAGAGGGCGGATCCTATGATCGTCTGCCCGGGAACTCGTTTGCGGATGGTGGCGTGTAGATGGCCAGCTTCGCTGCATGGAAGACCGGGTGCACACGGAGGTGCCGTGGAATGGCAATCACAAAGGAAGGACCTGCAGGGTCGTCGCCTGCTGCAGAAACTACCTTCCATGGTCCAAACCATTTCGGGAGGAGTTCGCGCGAGACGTCCTGCTCGAGCGCGAATTCCTCGGCGAGGACCCAAACAAGGTCTCCCTCGTGGAAAGGACATGGGAGTCGACGTCGGTTGGCTTGCTGCTGCATGTGGATTTGAGCCTTTTGCATGTTCGCGCGGGCTTTGATCAGCAAGTCCCGGTACTTCCGGACTGAAGAGGGAGAGCAAGCGACGTCTATGTCGGCGGCCCGTGGTAGAAGAAGATCGGCGAAGACTCGGGCCTTCTCTCCACCGTGATGTAGCTCAAATGGAGTGAGGCAGATCGCCGGATGCGCCGAAGTGTTATCGTCGAACTCGATGTCGGGAAGCCGGTCAACCCGATCTTTCTGGTCGGGACGGATGAGTGTTCATAACATCATTTGAGCCGTTTGATGCGCTCGTTCCGACTGTCCATCCGTCTGCGGGTGCCGTGCGGAACTCGGCTTCATAGTCGAACCGGACTCCGTCATGAGGGAAGTCCAAAAGGCCGACATGAAGCGAGTGTCTCTGTCGCTCACAATATCTTCTGGAACACCATGGGCGGTAATCCAGCCGGTGTGCAAGAGTCGAGCGAGCTCGGGGGCTGTAGCACGATACTTGCATGGAAGAAAACGAGCGTACTTGCTCAAACGGCCAACGACCGTGAGAATGCCGTCATGACCGAGGCGATCGCGTGGTGCCCGAGGAATCGGCATCGGCTTCAGTTCGCCATAAGGGACCGTAGATCGACCTTTGTTACGATGGCAAACTGCACATGACTCAATATACCTCGTGACGTCGTGAAGAACATCAGGCCAGTTAAATCGCTGGCGGAGGCGAGCCAATGTGCGGGTCACGCCAAGGTGTGTCGAAAGTCATGCATCGTGGAATTCTCCGAGAAGACGAGTCCACAAGATGCAATCTTGGGGCACCACTAACGAGTCCTTTCCTCTCGTGTGCAGGAGTAGGAAACCGTCGGCGATATGATAATGGCTAGTCGGCGGTTGATCCGATGAAAGCTCCATGTATAGCGTAGAGTACGGATCGGACTTGTAGTCGTTGACGAAATGCTGTTGCAGATCGTCGTCGAGGTCGAACGTCGTGGTCACAAGGGCACAAAGATCGGGCCGTCGTGAGAGGGCGTCCGCTGCTCAGTTGGCCGGACCGGGAATGTGGCACAGCTCAAAGTCGAACTGGTCGATGTAATACATCCATCGACCAATCGTGCTAGTGACCGTGTCCTGCGTTTTGTAGAAGGTCAACGGATTGTTATCCGTGTTCCATCCAAAACGCCGACGACCGAGAAGAAAGTGGCGCCACCATTTGAGAACGGTGACGAATGCGAGTAGCTCTTTCTGAGAAGCGATTAATGGAAGGCCCAAAATTCGACCAAATTTGACGAATTTTTCACCGAACTGCCATACTTCCTTGAATTTTTACTTTTTTATCGGTTTTTCTTTTTGCCTCTTATATATGTGTTTTAGGGTATATCTGCATTCAGTTTCGCCGTATTTGGAGCAGTAACAAAAAACTTAGCAAAAACACCAGACTCAAAAAAAACTTTGGCGAACTCCAAAAGCTACTCCGGAAAGGGTTTTATAGTACTCTTGATTTTGATTTTTTAATTTTTTTTTTGCCTGATTGGTTTTTTTATGTTTGCTTTATGACCCTGCATAGTTTGTTCGCAAAAGTTTCGACAACATTGCTTGTAGCGACGTGGCGAAAAACCCCGAATCTTTAGCCTTCCATTAACTGCTGTCGTGCGGCATTATTCCAATACCGCACCAATACCGTACCCGGAAGCATTCGTAGTCACTTGGGTGGGTAGGGTGGGATCATAGATACGGAGGGCCGGTGCATCTTGCATCGCCACCTTCAACGTATTAAACGCGCCACGAGCTGCGTCGTCGAACTCGAAGGGCACCTTCGGGGACTGCAGTCTCGACAAAGGAGCTGCCACTTTGGAGAAAGACTCGAAGAAGCGCTGATAATATCAAACCAAACCCATGAAAGAGCGTACATCCGTCGTGCAACGGGGTTCCGGCCAATCCACGATGGCTTGGATCATGTCCGCTAAGGGACGAATGCCTTTCGCTGTCACATAACGGCCCAAGTACTCAAGCTCTTGCTTGGCGAATTCGCACTTGTCGCGATTTGCTTTGTACTTGGCTGCTCGCAACCGATCCAACACCACACGAAGGTGTACGAGGTGCTCGTCAAGCATCCTACTATAGACCAATATATCATCGAGGTAGATGAGGACGGAACGATCGAGCAAGTCTCGGAACTCCGTTGTCATGGCTGCTTGGAAAGTTGTCGGGGCATTGGTGAGCCCAAATGGCATCACGACCCAC